GAAGAAAAAAATCAGGATAATAAAATATAAAGATCAATGCAAACTATTAAATCAATGAGAGAACTAATCACGAAATGTAGACATAGAAATAGATTCAAAATTACATAAGAATACATATGTATATATGTGGGGGCGTATGTATACGTATAGTGACATATATGTATGGACATGTACATATATGTATGTATGAAGATATGTACGCATATACAGTAGCGTCCAAAACTAAGGGACAAAATTTTAAAACCTAATATTTGTTAGAAATAACAACTGTGAAAAGCTGAAATTTTGACAACTGGTAGTCGTTATCATCCATAATAACATACTAAAATTTGAATCATTTGCAAAGGATAGAAAAAGAATTATAACAATTATTTATTTATTTTCAAATTTGGAACGTCCAAAAGTAAGGGACAAAATTGAGAAAAACAATGTAAAAGGCAAAAAAACAATAAAAATACATGTACAATCAATATTTAGTAAATGAGCCCTTGCTCTCAATGACAGCTGCACATCTTCGACTACAAGAACGAATCAGTTCTTGACAATCATGGATATTAATTTTAGACCATTCTTCTTGAAGCTTCACCCACAAATCCTCCGTGTTAGTGGGATTTCTTTCCATAACTTTCACTCCTAAGGTCTTCCAAAGATTTTCTATTGGATTTAAGTCAGGACTTTGCGGTGGCCAATCCATAATTTCCAAATCTTGCTCGCTAAGGTAACTAATTACCACATTTGCCTTGTGACATGGGGCATTATCTTGCATAAAGGTAGCCCTATCGAAACTTGAATTCTGTATGATTGGCACAACATGATCTTGAACAATGTTTTTATAGATCTGAGCGTTTACACGAGTTTGTAACCGGACAAGAGGCGTTGTACCTTGGCTAGAAAACATTCCAAATACCATGACGCTTCCGCCCCCAAACTTGACAGTTTTCTTAGTACACTTTGCACTTAATCTTTCACCAATACGTCTCTTTACATTGTTTTTTCCATCATTTCCAAATAAATTAAACTTGCTTTCATCACTGAAAAATACTTTTGCCCAATTTTCATATGTCCAAATCACATACCTGTTTGCAAACTCTAATCTCTTCTTATTCTTCGAACTAACAAGTGCTTTCTTCCCTGGGGTTCGATTAAACAGCCCTATTTCTTGCAGTCGTCTACAAACAGTCTGTCTTGACACATTAACACATGAGGTACTATTCATAACCCTTTTTAATTTCTGTGAAAGACTTAAAACGGTCCTTTAATGACATACGCTGCATTATTCGATCTTCTCTTGCCGAAGTTTTGCGGGGTCTGCCGGTTTTAAAAGCACTATTTTGCCAGTATCATTGTAGGATTTAACAACCCTGCCTACAACACTCTTGGAACGTTTCACTTTCTCTGAAATCTCTCTAATGGTGTGCTTTTCCTTGTGTAGCTTCACAATAGCTTGTCTCACAGAGTAATCAAGTTTTTGGCGTTTCGCCATGGTGCCGGCTGATGCAACGTTTACAAATGACTAAGTAAGACTTATTCTTTAGAGGAAATCAAAAAATTTGAATATAGCATACTGTTTACATTGTTTTTCTCAATTTTTAGTTTTGGACGCTACTGTAAGTTTGTTGGACAGCATGATTTATTCCATTGGGTGATCTGGTATTACCCATAATGTATAAATCTATAATTCAACTAATTTACATTAATCTTAATGGGTTTAAGTTTAAATCCTCCATCGCTTATCAATAATATTCAACACCTGTAGTACAAAAACTATTTACTGTGAATCCTAGAAAAACACACTTGTGGCTTGTATAAGAAATGCCACATAGTAGGAACTAATATTAAACTACAATAAACGAAAGGTCCTAGCCATAAATAAACTCCAATCCCAGACCGATTCCCCCAGGATAAGATACCTTACATCCCCACCAGTCGCTAACACAAACCCATTGTCATTAACAAGGTGTCTACCAGAGGAGGACTGACATTGAAAATAAATTTAAAACAATGCTCTGAGACAGACATTTAGGTGCTGATGATAGCCGCATACAGAACAGCTTGAAATAAACTATATATGTTGAGGTAATTTTTTTTTTTTTTGTTTATATATATATATATATATATATATATATATATATATATATATTTAGTACTCCCTAAAAAACATTCCATACTCCTCTCTACATTCGTTCGACATATCCCTTACGGAAAAAATTGTGGACTTTGTTAAGAGATTACAATGGAAAGCGTTTTTTTACCTTATCCCCCCGCCCTGCGGAAACAACAAATTACAAACAGGAAACCTTCAACCTAAAGACCCAACAAACTCCACCAATCTGTAAATTCCTGGATCCTTTCGAAAGGGACTTGTTTGACATAGTTAAAAACAATGAAGTTCAACAAGCACTCCGATCACTTACAAAAAAACTTTACTAACTGTACACAATGTAGACTAATAAATCCAACAAAAACAGAACTAGGCCTTATCTCAAAAAATGTAATTAAAAAAAATAACCAACAATTTACTAATCAGGACTAGTACTAACCTTTGGAAGGATTCTATTATAGTGGAACACACCTATTCTATAGTTAGACTCTCCCACCTATAATAAGTAGGAGTAGTAAGAGTAAAGAGGGAGTCGCTCAGTGGGTCAGTCAGTCGATGCCGGACGACCGTTAGTCGGATACTAAAGTATCAGCGACCCCAACTAGATTTCTCTGCGTCATTACCTATTATATCAAGTTCCTAACGTTTTGTACGTCGAACCTATTTTAGGACCGATTTAGTACACTAATATGAGGAATAAGGATAAAGCGACGTTAATTAATTTTGATATAGTTGGCTTCTATTCCTCTATCACTAGGGACCTCCTGGTCAATAGTATCAACTTTGCAAAGAACTATATAGAAATAGCAAATGATGAAACTAATATCATCTTAACAGCAAGAAAGTCACTGCTAACACTGAATAATTCTACCTGGACTAAGCACCATAATGACGAATTCGATATCCCTATGGGAGTGTATGACTCAGCCGATGTTGCAGATTTAGTATGTTTTTGCATTTTAGATGTGCTTAGTAGAATCGTAAAACCGGAAATAATAGGACTGTATAGGGATGACGGGCTCATCCTCATCCCTAAAAGTAATGGTCCACTAACAGCGAAATTACAAAAGAAAATTATCAGGGCCTTCAAATTCCTAGGGTTTAAGATCGAAATTTCCTCTAACCTTAAAATAGTTGACTACCTAAATGATACTATCAGAGATTCTATCTAACATGGAACAGTCATAAGAAGAAGGGGAACGATAGAGGAAGAAGAGATAGTTAACTGAGTTTAATAGAAAAAGACGGAGGCACATGTAAGAATAATCCGAAGACTCAAAAGAGAGTTCCCTTACCAGTGGGAGATATTCCCAAACACATACATCTAGGTCATGCATATGTAAACACTAGAATCTTTCTGAAAGAGAGGAATATAGCCAGGAACAGAGAATCCAGTGGAAGAGCTTGAAGAATTCGGATGGGTTTTGATGAGAGTTAGGATGGTCGGTGAGCGTTCAATGAAGGAACTATTCCAGACTGCAGGAATTGGTACGATTATCGCAAATGTTAGAGAACGAAAGTTTGAGAGACTTAGGTATTTTTTGATGAGCTGATTTAGTTGTATATAATTTGTGATTTTTAGTCGTAGTGGTTATTTTTTTAAAGTGGGGAAGGTGAGGAATAATAGTAGCTGCCAGTTGTATGTGTTGGCTGGGAATTTATGCACTCAGCAGCACAGTATAGCCTCGGGGTTACTAATTGGAAATGCTTGCAGGGATACCTTTCTATCTGCAGGGACCTCAATATTATGTGACTGTTGATCAGAGCAGTCTCTCTAGATGCTATCCAATCGGGATGCAGCAACAAGAAAACTAGCAACCTGGCATCTTCAGTATGAAGAGTCGTAGCCAACATCCAGTCATATTAACAAAAATCAATGATAGCCGCCACACTTATTAAGGCCTCGTAAACTGGAGACCCCATCATAAACATGGGAAAAGGGATATCCCTATACTCCTGTTCAATAGAAGGGAAGGAGTATGGATCTGGCGATATGTAGAACTATCTACTCTTAGAAAAACAAAAGAAAAAAAAGAAGCACAACACTAAAATTGTCTGTTAAGTTTTAGCATATTAAGACGAACTACCTATGGCTGCAATAAAATCAAGCGGGGAATTAAAAGTACTCTTGTTATATGAGAGAGAGAGATGCCACCGAATAAATCACGGAATTCAGCATTCCAAGTTAAGTATCTTCCCAAATAACTTATTCTCAAAATGTCTAATGTCCGGCGCGCCATATATGATTCATTTCTAATTTCTATTTAAATACAAATATACATCAAACTATTACTTGGTGTTTGGGACTGTATTTACAGTCTGTAGTGCAGTTTTAACATACAAGTGATACCATCCATTAATTTAATTTTGTGTTTCTTTAACTGGTTATTCTGTCGTTGAGATGGGCAGTCAGATTGCAAATCCAATACATTAACGCTGCTAGCGGTGGACAAATATATATCAAATTAATCACTAATAAAACAATGCTACAGTAATTATGAAGTGGAAAAAATAACAGTAATAAATTCTGATAATAATTATAATATACTACTGGAGAGAAGGAAAAGGAGAAAAAACAAAAACATACCACTTACGTGCGAAATAGTATTGAAGCAGACTGTATTAGCCAAAAGATTTGCACGTTCTTGGTGATTTTACTTGGAGGGTAGGTAATGGCGGCTGTAACTTTTTTTTTTATGAATGGAATAAATTTCTTTATTCCCGACTACTAGTGTGGGATTGGAGGGGGATGATGAAACAACAAGAAAACTATATTCTTATCAACTTACATTTACTTTACATCCCTTTTCTCTATCCCTCCTTTGACACACTTTAGGCATGAAACAGACTGTAATCACTGGGTGTTGGCTTCAATGTCCACTTTTATATTTACAGACAGTCTATCCCTAATATTGATCAATTTAACCCATAAATATAACATATCTATCTATCTATCTATCTATCTATCTATCTATCTGTAGATAGATAGATACGTAATACCACTTTGTAATTGTGTGGCACCAATTACCAAGGCAAAAAAGAAAAGAAAGGAAAGAGAGGAAGGAAAGAAAGGAAAGAGAGGCGAGATTCCAAGCGTGGGTGATAAGTAGAACACCCACGACCAGAGACAATAGGTAATGATATTTTGATAAGTAGCAAATGGCAAAAACTGTCATTACATTGGCAGAAAAATTCTAAGTGGATAAGGGAATCAGATGTGTTCTGGCTACGAGCTTGTGTTATCGGGGATACATAAACAAACCGCTAATGCGGGAAAACACCTGATTGGCAAACCACAGACCGACTAGCCGAAGAAAAATCCAATTGAAAATGTTATTTTGATAATTGACAAAAAACAGGTGAACTACAGGGCTTTACTGTACTACTGTACTGATGCGGCATTCACCCTGGGCGGATTGAGCCGGCTTCTTCCTGTTATGAGAAGAAGATTCTTGGGATAAATTACAGAAGTAGGGTACCCAGGCCTACTCGGATAACGTTCTTGCTTGCCGCTGGGTTCCCACAGACGCAGAGACAGGAACGACCAGAAGCCGCCGGTTACCGATGCAGACGCTCCTTGGATTTTCACCAGAGCCCTTGTTAGCCAGCGTGTGTGTCAGACCTGTCCGCCTTGGGTGGCCCTACCAGGAACGAAGTTCCGGGCGGCATAGCTCTGACACTACCGTTTACGCCCCCCAACGACTGTGAGGTAAGGGTTGGACTTTGGATAGATATGAAAAATTAATTGTGTCAAAGCCGCACACGAGGTGGAGACTGACCGTTTTCTTTCGACAGAACATCTTTAGCTCTGATAACAAACTATGTTATCAGTAATGTGCACCAAGGAGTGACTGGAACCATGGAAATGTTTTTTTTCGAGGCGACGGACGATTGTGTTGTGTCAAATAGACCACCCATTCTGATAATTAGCGATAATCTGACTGACGAAGTCCAGATGAGAACAAGGGTTATAACCACCACCGGTCGTATTGTTCTGTTGGTGGCCAGAGAAAATGAGAACTACGATTAAAGAAAGAAAAAGAAAAGAAAAAGATAATTTATTTTTGAGCAAGATATATATTTTTTTTCCCTGAAACAAAGCCCGCGGATCGTGCACGCCCGGCTGGACATCATTGGCCGAGTGGTGATCACGTGACGCAAGGAGGAAGCTGCCACCGCCCATTTAGAGGATGGGTATGAGAGGCTGCTACGAGGAAGTGGGGAGGGGGGTTCACGCCCCTCTGAAGTATGGTGAGAAGGTGGGAGTAAGAGAAGGCTCCCAAAAAAATGGAAAGAAGTGGAAAATTCCTAACCAAAAATAAAAGAAGTGGATAGGTATTTAGAATTATCGAGGAACCCCCCGGCACCGACAAACCCACCCCGGTTTTTGTCGGCGTCCATATAAGCGAAGTCGCAGCGAGCAGAAATCAGTTCCAGAGTTGAGTTCGGGAGAGACAGTTCCCAGAGCTCAGTGCTCAGTTGAAGCAAGCCTCGCATCGGCTGACCAAGATTCGCGCAATTTCTGGACTCATCTTCAATCCAAGAACAATTATTTTGAAGAGCGACTTAGATCCAGACCACCAAAATAAGTTTTTTTTCGCCTTTCGCCCGAAGACACACACACACAAAAAAAACCCAATTTCTTAAAGAACAAACAACTTGAAGTGTTAAAACTGGCCTAACGGAAAACAACGTGTCACAATCAATAGAACGGGTCGGGAGATAGACGCAGTCCTATGTATCCAACAACTAGACATAAAGTTTGTTATCCTTTTCTTTGATACCTTGAACTTTTGAGTTATCATTTTATTTCTTTTATACGTATTTGTGCGATACCACCCCCGCTTGGACCCAACTTGCATTGCGGCCCCAACGACTGATTGATTTCGTCTGCCTAAGATCGATTCACAACGTGGGTAGGCGGACTGGAGATCAACGCAGTTACTTTGGTAACCAGGCGTTGGAAGCGAGTTGGGAACGACGAGGCTGATATCGAATCTAACCAGATTCCCATCCGAATCATCAAAAGGTTAGAATGTCACATTTGGGTGCCGCGACCGATACCAAGCCAGTTGGTCGTCACAGGACGAGACAACACGGCTGACGCGACAGGCGGACGTCACGTTTGGAGCGGCGACACCCGAACGAAGCAGCGAGGAGCAAGCGAAGGCAGTGTTCAGGGACGTCACAATTGGTAGGGATTATTCCAAAGAAGACTTTACTCAATGCGAGCTCGATGTAAGTCTGGATGGATTGATTATCATTATATATATATATATATATATATATATATATATATATATATATATATATATATATAATCAATCCATCCATATATATATATATATCAGTATTATAATATCGGATCTTGATATGACTGCGAAAGTCGTAAGTACTTGAACAAAAACAACAAAATATGAACTTTGAACACTTTATCCACAACTTCGAACGCAATAATCAACATCTTATCCGAAAATTGGAAAATATAAAAAAATTAAACAGAAAGACCTGGTCAGTTCTTTTTTTATCAAACTTTATTTCGATGAGTACATGCTGCCTAAATTCCATATTCCCTATATATATATATATATATATATATATATATATATATATATATATATATATATATATATATGGCTCATGTGGATAAAACAACAGACTTTAGTTTTAAACAGGTTTAGATTGTAGTGATTGGAGAAGCATCGATTTGGGAGTCTGTCCTATAAGTAATGCATCAAATATATATTATATAACTAGGCTTGATCCAAATATAATACATATTTTGGTGATGACATATTTTTATGACCTTCGGTAATTATTTTATGCATTAATTAGAAGTAGTTTCTTTTGTCTAGTAGTACTTAGCATTCTGATGTGGTCTAATAAATTTGTTTTGAAGAACAAAGTTGAACTCAGGATGTACAAAGAAATATTTTCCATTTGATATCTGAAAAAAAAGTAATGTTGTTTATGAATCTGATTTCATGAATCAATGACAGCCAGCAACTTACAAAAATACTTTTCTGTTATTTACATTATTTACAGTTAGACTAATGACCTCCTCAGGTACCTCTCGATCTGGGTAACATCGAGGTAATTTCAAACTGAATCAGTTTAGTTTTCTCTTGTTCTACTGCCTATGTCTAGGGAGATCTGGTATTGTTATTTTTAATATTGCCCAGTTCCTGTTAGGGAGTTCAATTCTTAGGCAAGATATTATAGAGTCAGAGAGACCAGGACAAGCAATAACTGAGCAGTACTAAAACAGAACAAGACGTGATATCCCTAAACATGGGAGAATGAAACAAGAAAATTCTATCACAGTAGATGAAATAAAGTGTTCAATTTATAATTCCATGAAGGTTACCTCACTTGATAACATAATTACCAAAATGTTGTGACAATGATAAAGATGTGGATATTAGTCCAACTGTAAATAATGCGAATAATTAGTAAATATGATGAATAGATTGCTTACTATGAGACTGAGATGGTTGTGTATTTACTTTCATTGCTAAAAGGTCAATGCTTGAATAGGGTAAAAGCAAGGAATATTAATGCTGATTTACAAGGCATGCCCTCCCTACATGAAAGATTGGTACATTGCCACAGTTTTCCTTCTTCCATTTCTCCTAGAATATTGTTAATATCAATATTCAAAGACTGGTGCAAAATATATTTTTGTAAAAAAAATTATTTCTATTTTTTTTATTTCCCTATATTTCTTATGCATTTATGCATCTGATCATAATATGTTGAAACACTTTCTTGTCGATCACCAAAGTTAAGAAACATTGAGTCTAGTCAATAACTAGATGGGTAACCGCTTGGGAATGCTATAAAGGAAAACGGTTTTGAATTGGAAATTAGAGAGCCATGTTCCAATTCCATTTCGGTTCGTTATATTAACTTACGTGCAAATAACCTTAGGAAAGGCATGAACCTGCTTCTCACCCTTCCGGCTATGGGTTAATTAGTAGGACTTTTATCAGTAAATCATTATCTCTCAAAATGTCATAATCTAAAAAGATTGACTAGCTTTAAATTACCTGCAAAGGGTTGATATGCATTAAAAAACAAATCTATCAATCTAATGTATTTCCCTTGAAAACTGCATTCAATGTGCTTAGATTTGATTGGCTCTGTTTGACCTGCGCTTATTTTTTCATGTTTTTATTTTTTTCATAGATTTCATATTCAGTGTAGTGGATAGCAGTTAGTCATTAACAATATTAGTGTAAGGAAAACTAAAAAAAAAATGCTGACATAAACTACCCCCTCCTATACATAATCATCATATGGTATATGTACAGAATAAAAAAAAAAGAAAGAAAAATTAATTACTCCAATGCACATCATGACCCAACCTTTTACAGAGGGACACACTTCTCTGCATCGGTTTCTAGGAATTTTCTCAAACGTATTATCAATTTTTGAGTGAGTTTCTGGATATTTTTATCTATATTTTTACTCTTATTTTTGTCATACACGCACTGAAAACATCCCTATTAATATCAATACGTTTCTTTATTTCATAGTAATTTTTTGTTATGTCACACCGACTGTATTAATGGTGTCAAATGCAAGAACATGTTCTCTCATTTCAACCTGATGTCTTACATTCATGGGGAGATGGCTACTATTTTGTTTTCATTGTTTATTCATTTGAACTAATTTAAGTTAAAAAATTATATCCCAAGTCTAGGAATGTCCACTTTTTCGCTAAAACCAGCATACTCGGATGAAAAAGGCCCCAAAATTAATAAAAACAAAGTCTTATCGCGAAAAAGGTTATGATATTAATAAGATGAGAGACCAAATTATCATTTAATTATTTAAAAAAAAATCCTTTTTAGCACGTTTGAACTTTTGGTTGAAAACCTTTTTCTTTAAATTTTTTTTCACCTCAGATATCGACGTAATATTTAGCATGAGGATTTTTTAGCACCTTTTTCAATTGAAAACAGATTAATGTGGAAAT